ATTCTTAGATGACAAATTATTAAAAAAAATGACATTGATAAAGTATTTTCTTCTAGTAGTTATGACATTAGTTGTATTATGTACTGACATGAATTGAAATTAATATTGTATTAATATTGATTTATGTACCTATTAATTACTAAGATGACAATTTGTTAAATAAATTTTGGTGACCAGATACGACCAATAAAAATAAGTCATATTTTTTTCTTTAGACGTAACTATAAAATATATATAACTATAATAAAAATATTATGGTAGAATCTTTAAAGACCCATATATTCCCCCTCTCTTTTCTTTCCAATAACTGAAATTTTTGGCCGCCAAAGAAATTCTCGACGGCTGAATGGTAATCTCGACGACGTGAAAATAAAAATATAAGGTTGTATGTACTTCGTTCCTTTTGACTTATCACAAAAAAGAATATAAAAAAACAATGTAGTTTGTCAAAATCGGTTATGTATATAAAGAAAAGGGGTTTTTGGTGGGATTTGATCGAGTGAGGTTGGCGTCTTATTTTAATTATTCATTTTGTTCATAGTGGATATTGTGAAATAAAATTGCTGTGATTTTGTGTTACAACCGTCTGCGCAACTGAAGAATTAGTGGAATCTTTAAAATATACGCTATTCCGGTCAAGTGGACGTGAGAATTTTATTGTAGTATTGACTACCACACAGAAGCTTACCGAAAAAGCCAACTCGATATATTTCGTGCCAAACACTCCAAGAAGCATTAGAATGCGTCACACCCACATTCTAAAGTAAAAAAAAAAGGAAGATTAATACAAAAATAAGACGATGGCTGCATGGCTATGCCTTTGCTTTTCTCTATAGAGAAGAATAAAACTAAAAAAAAAATAAAGAAAAGTAATCATTTACAATATTTTATTTTTCTCAAAAACTATCAGTGTCCTGGTGTGAAGACTTTGCATAGAGACTTTGTTAACAGCTAGACTTTTTCACCAAATAATAGTAAAGTTTTTGGGCCCTGAAAGTATAGTTTTACCGGCAAATAAAAAGAAAATAACTATTTACATACTAGTCATTATCATTATAGTACACAATTAAAAGCTAAAATTAAAAGATTTTTGTGCTTAATGTTTATTTTCGATGGCTTTATAATAATCTCAGCTTTTGTCTCATAACCTATTAAAGAAATCAATGTTTATTTTCAAAATGTAACGATAAGTTACCTTTTGACGTGACAACGTCTTAAATTAGGTTGCGGCTGGGAGTCACTTATGAAAAAGTGTAACGCTCGGTAACGTTACGATGAGTCTCTCGTGTTAAGTTTAAGTTTACATGTACAATGTTTTAGTAAACAAAATATATTTCTATAGTTAAAATTTGTGCAATTCTTATTTTCATTCAATTCCTTGTTCCTATTGTGCAATTTAATTATATTCATATCAATAAATATTCTACCGAGAAAAAGACGTTGTCACGTAAAATCTTCGCCCGTAAAACCGACTTTTTTACTAAGAAAAGTAAATAAACCAATATTTTTTCTTTAAACAACAGAACAGTGGTGAACAGAAACCTTTTTAACAGAAAAATGCGAAGTTGCAACCAACAAAACTGTGATTTTTTTATTTTCGGGCCCAGGAAGTACAGTATATAACTGTAACAAAACAAGGCTAAGCTTAAAATCATGTCGCTATTCCAGTGGATAAAAAATATTAGTTACTATGACATACAATTTACTTACCCCAATATGGGTTGAAAACTTAGTGTTTTACAAAAAACATATAAGTACTATAATTTATAATTGTTTTCTCCAAATACATTTATCTTTTTAATATATTTTTTTGACAGCCGTGACGAAGTTTAGTGTTAACAATATCAAACTATATAAAAACCATAAACCAACCCGTGAAACCAACATTTTAAAATTTATAGTAGTAGTAGGAAGGTCGAATATGGAGAAAATAAAAAAAGGTAAATTTAAAAAATCAAAAAACCCGACTGCTTAATTATACTTCAAATAAAAACTGAAAAGAAAAAAACAAGTCCAGTAGTCTATAATTCTGTTAATAAGGAACAAAGCTACTTTAACAGTCGGGACCCATTAGATATTCAAGAATACATAATATTTTTCAACAGTGGGTCCCGACTGTTAAAGTAGCTTTGTTCCTTATTAACAGAATTATAGACTACTGGACTTGTTTTTTTCTTTTCAGTTTTTATTTGAAGTATAATTAAGCAGTCGGGTTTTTTGATTTTTTAAATTTACCTTTTTTATTTCACACTTTTTAGTTAGTTAGTATTTTAAGACGGTATATACCGTAGTCTTGTTACTTCAGTAAGGGAATTAATATCGCGGGAATTATTAAGTACCTTAAGACAGTCTAAAAATGAATCTAATGATACCGCATACATATTTTTTTAAAGGGAAATTTAGAAAAAATATTATTATGTCTTTATCCCGTGGGACTTTTAGGATAAAATGTATCCTATGACACTCCCGTAATCAAGACAAATCTAACGATACCTCATACATCAAAATCCATCAAGCCGTTTAGGCTACAGGAGGTCACAAAGGAACAGACATACATACATACTTACATACACTCCCTAAACATTACCCTCCCTCTTTGGCAGTCGGGTAAAAAAGAGAGAACGGTTGCGATATCCCCGCCAGGGTGGAACCAAAACATTCGTCAGACCATAGTCACGGTAATAAGATGAAGTTGAAACCACTGTATTTGACCGCCATCTGTGAAATGTTTATGTACTATTTGACGACGACATGATAGCATGCGTCGCTGGCATCGAAGGTATAAGAAGCTTCGTCAGATGGCATTATATGGGACTAATCATCCTTCTATACTAAATTTAAGAATACGGTACAGTAATTTAGAGAATTTAACTAATGACGAGGTTTTAATATTAAAATAAAGATATTTATCACTATTATTATTTGTTTACTATAAAGATATCCGAAACTTCGATACTAATTTCTTAAAAAAAAATCTTAAAAGCGGCATCTGTACGTTATTTACACAGCATACATTCTTACATCGTAGGTATTATACGCGTCGTTAGATGGCGACACTTGACACGGACTTCCCTTTATTACACTGATTCTATGAAATATTTTGAGAGAATTCAATAATTTTTATTCCAATGTACCTACTAATAAATGTGATATTAGAAAAATACATCAACATCAACATCATACAACTTATCTACTACAATGTACCTAATATTTACAAAATATGAAATATTTTATTTTGGGCTTTTAATCCTAATGAACAGCGAAGTTATTCACTATGTAACAATAACATGACCCAACCAATAATAAACTGTTAACATTTCATTGGTCCCGAATCCCGACTATTTTGTTACGTCCCTAGTTCATTTTGTCAGACAAAATTAGCTGAGATACTATTTTTTAATTTCATTATAATACACCATCTCCCGTATGGTCTAGTGGCTAGGATACCTGGCTTTCACCCAGGAGGCTCGGGTTCGATTCCCGGTACGGGAATACCTTTTTGTTAGTAACTTTAAATGTACACTTCCTAAATAATAAATTCATTCACCTATACAAAATACAATAATTTGCAGTTTTAAAAATTAAATGTATGAGTAAATTGACGTCCCGGCGTTTTTTGAACATTGTGGAGTTGAAAAACTTGCCTGTTCCATCTATCATATCTGAGTATATGGTTAAAATTTCAACTCGATCGTATTGTGGGTAACGCACAATGTCAATGGTGCTGCCTTTCAGCCTAAGAAAAACTAGGAGAAATTCGATATCTCCGCGCGTTTCCGAGAGAAAGGGTCTTGCTTGATAGACAGATGAACATATGGACCGACAGACAGACGGTCAACAAAGTGATCTTTTAAGGGTTCCGTTTTGACGTGACAACGTCGTAAATTAGGTTGCGGCTGGGAGTCACTTATGAAAAAGTGTAACGCTCGGTAACGTTACGATGAGTTTAAGTTTACATGTACAATGTTTTAGTAAACAAAATATATTTCTATAGTTAAAATTTGTGCAATTCTTATTTTCATTCAATTCCTTGTTCCTATTGTGCAATTTAATTATATTCATATCAATAAATATTCTACCGAGAAAAAGACGTTGTCACGTAAAATCTTCGCCCGTAAAACCGACTTTACAGGCAACCATTTTTTTTTTTCTTTTAAGGTACGGAACCTTTAAAATGGTGCACATGCAAGATGTTTCATGGTTTGGTTTAAAAAAAAAGGTTTTTTTTTTTAATTCAACTATTAGGTACTTAGTTGAACTAGACAGGATTTTGTGTTTTTATCAACTACTAGCAAACCAGTGAACCAAATGTTCACCAAAAAAAAATGTATTTAATTAATTGAAAACTTCGGAAATTTTGTGTGGTTTCGTTTGAAATAGAAATCACGTGATTTCTCGAAAACCGGAAGTGCTACGTTACTCACATCCGGTTTGTAGTCTTATCAGACTATTTTTAACTTATAACTTAAACATTCTCTATCTCTTACGGTTTGGCCGCTGAAACAGCACCACGGACGGACGGACGGACTTGTCTATTAGATAAGAGATTCCAATCAACATTAATAACGATGACAACATTTCTGATCGACTTATAAATTCTTTTGTGCATACGAAGGAATGTATTCGAATAAGATACCGTTAGTTAGGTATATTAATTCCTTAATTTTTTATACCTACCAATCATTATTGGATTATTGTAAAGAATTAATTAGTCGTTTAATAATGATACCAATTTATGTAAGTATTTTATTTTTTAAGCATTTTACTACAACAGGTTTAAATCTAAAATTAATTTTACTAGAAAATATTCCACGCGTGCCAGACGGGACTCGATCTCGCACCCTCCGAGTCCGAGTCCTGTCGAGTCCCGATGCCTGGTCCGCGTGGTTTTTTTTGCCGAGTAAAACTTTCTTTAAATTTTAACATCTAGCAGCTAAATGCTTAAAAATTAAAAAAAAAAAACCTAGGTTTATTGTTACTTTCATATTGAATATACTTACTACGACATACCGCCCCAGCCCTCATATATTTGTGCTAGTAAGCACACCCCAAGCCCCAACCCAGCATCAACAAAGGTGGTACGAACAAATGGAGTCGCCGCGACCAGCGTAACATGAACCGTTGGGCCGACCTCACATTCCTACAGAGTTGTACGATTATCCGAATTCCTGCATGTTCCTGTAAAATGAAAATAAACTAGGTACTTTGATTTTTTACCATTTTAATTTAACATGATAAAAAAATTTGGACTTTTTTTAATATATTAATTTATCAAGAAAACTTTTGATAAGTTTCCTTATTAACACAAAAAAGTTAGACACGAGTTTAAGAAAAAAAAAAACTTAGGACCGTTATTTTTTTTCTATCTTTATTCAATTTTCAAGAATACAAATTTTCAATAAGTATCCTTAACCATATATCACAAAAAAGTTAGACACGAGTTTAAGAAAAATAATTTACAAAATTTGTCTAAAGAAGGTTTGAAACAGTGTCTACCTATTTTGTAGTAAGACCGTATGTTTCATTACAGTAAGTATGTTATATGATTGTGTGATTTCACACGTCATATTGCTATTAAAACTAATATTCTTCAAATGCCACTGCTCACGTTTTTTTTTATAACAGAAAAAAAAATCACCAAAGGAGAAGTCAGTGTTGTCATTTGTTAAAAGCATTAATCGTTGACAAAAACTTCTTCAATTACTTTGAATTCTGTAAAAAAACATGCTTTAGGAATAAAAGTTTTGTTATGTTTTTTTTCACGATAATGCGGTTTTTTTGCATCTCTAGACGGGGATGGCCAACTTTAACTGGCCGCATGATCGACGGGTTGATTGTGTATTCACATGGATAACCTTAGGTTTTTCCAACATGGCCGGCGCGTGATATTTTTAAACGTCTATTTCAGTTCAGACCGGTTAAGTAGTGGGGACATCATAATTTTACAGATTTATGATTTAATATAAGTACTTATAATGAGGCTATGAAACATAAAAAGCTTTGGCATAAATTTGCATTTGAAAAACAGCTAGGAAACCTAGCAAGTTAAGTTAAATTAGATATTGAAAATGTTCTTCAAATGAAAATATTCTCGTTAATTATTTAAGAACTGACATCAAATATCTAAGGCTCTCGCGAACTTCTCGAATATGTGGATTGTCTGCGTGGTTCCCCGAACAAAATTTATCACAGATATTTTTAAAAACATACTTTTTATTGGTCTTTACATTATGTGAAAAAATTTAAATACAAAAGTTGTAGATCTTTTGATTACCTACAATTTTGCCTTTGTTCATCAAGGATAATGTAGGATTTTAAATGTGAAAGAATTTTTCAAATCGGACCAGTACTTTCGGAGCCTATTCAATACTAGCAAACAAACAATCAAATCTTTCTTCTTTATAGTGGCGCAAAAGTAATCATCCAACTTTTTTCGTGTAACTTATTTACTAAATAAAAAAGAATAATTTATGAAAATCTTTATTTTTGTTTATATTTTTTTTTTCTGTTAAGTGGATAAAAGATATATCACCTGCTGCAATGTTGATACACATTTGTGACCGTTTATCACATTTTAAAGTAATCAGCAAGATTTCCGGAGTCTGTTCGCATTGCTTTCGCATGACTTTTTAAATGCTGCGATTGTCTTCGGCTTATTGGCATAAACCTGTGACTTCAAGTAGTCTCGAAGAAAAAAGTCTGGGGTGGTTAATCTTGCGATTTTGCTTGCCAAATCGCCTAAATGAAATCGTCCTGTGTGCGGTTGCACCGTCTTGTTGAAATCGCACATGTTCACGCTCCTGTGGGATATCGTGCTGTATTCTTGTCTGTTTGTATTTTGCGTCAGTCTAGTTCACAAAATATGACAAACATGATTGACTAACGTCGCCATTTGCAATAATTATACCATCATTCGATAGAGTGATTACTTTTGCGCCAGTCTGTATAAAATAAAAAATCTTACTCTACTTAGTCCAGAACGAAATAAAATACCTCAGTATGTAGCTTGAGAGTTCAACTATTTCAAACCCTAACAAATCGTCTCTTTTGTATGATAGTCAGTTTCATTTAAGCTGGAGACAGCACAAATACGAAAGCCGACCGTTTAATTTGGAGCCGTGGAAGTTTACAGCTACTCTCCCTCGCCTTAGTGTATTCCTTTTAAAAGAAAACCAGGCGTGTCTAGTTACACTGGCGCATCATTTGACGATCTAGAGCATTCTAAAAATGTTAAGCTTCGCTTACTTTTGTTGTTCACTATCATAAGGATGTTTTTTAAAAAGCTATAAAAATCGTTATTTTAGAATAACGTTTCCTGTGTTCTATGTATTTTTAATAATATAGGACCCGTAGTAATAGATCGTTCTCAACTCCGAGATTACGATCTTGAGACACTGTTTTTATACAAAACGATCGTGCTCATCATACGGGCCTTTATCAAGGATGGGCAAACTACGGCCGGTAGTCCATCCCTGTCCCTCGAATGGTTAAATTCCGGTCCGCGATCATCAAACTAAAATTAGAGGTACTCACCAAAAAGTAGGTACCATTTTGCTCCATGTTCCGACAAGGACCACCGGTTGTCGAACCTGGTACGTAACTATTTCATCAACATCATCATCTCAGTACGACGCCCACTGTTAATCTTAGCCTCCCCCGAGGATCTCCACACCGATTGGTCCTGCGCCACTCACATTCAGCGGCTAACCTTGACCTTCACTAGATCTTCGGGCTAACAACTGAGCTTCATCCGGTATTTGGTCACCATTCGAGAACCTTTCCGCCCCAAAGGCTAACGATTTTCCTCGCTACATGTCCCGCCCACTGCCACTTCAGCTAAGCAATCCTTGGAGCGATATCGGTTACTTTAGTTCTCGGATTTCATCATTTCTGTTTCTAACGCGTATAAATACCGAGCATCGTTCTCTCCATTGCTCTGTGTTGCTTTTATGAGACCCGCATTAAATGACCACGTTTCTCTGTACGTCATCACTGGCAAGATACACTGGTCAAAGTCTTTTGTCTTGAGACACTGAGGTTATTGGACCTGAAGATCTTACGCAATTTCCCGAACGCTGCCCATCCGAGCTGGATTCGACTATAAATCTCTATTACGCAGTTGAACTACCTAACTGGAGTGTTTATCCCAGACATGTAATATGTAGTGGTTAAAAACTTCGAGTGTAATTTTCCCAATTTTAATTAGAGCGGGTGCTAGATGGCATTCGACATGCGTTTGTCTATCTTAACCGTGTTCATATTAAGACCCACTCTTTAGGGAACACTACTATGATCTTCGAGCAGCGTGTTCATATCTTCCAAGGTCTCTCTCTTGTAAGGTACTCGCCATTAACGTTGATGTATCGTCCTATCCACTCCCTAAATTCTGCGCACCCAATTACCTATTTATTTCCCAGCAAACTCAAAGGCGGGAGAGGCATTTGTCACTGAGCTAGGTTTCGAGAGCATTTTTTTTAAATTAATACCTACCAATTACTTTTATTTGAATGAACAGTCGGAAATTCAAAAACTTGACCCGCCATACATTCTTATTGTAAATATTGGCACCATAACGAAAAAAGTAAAGCCAATAGCCAGATTGTTCAAAAAATCTTGTAAGCCATATAATTTGATGCAAAGCATTGATAATATAAATTCATTTCCATCACAGTACTGGTGGGTGCTAATGACTACATTTATGCAGCCGGGACCAACGGCTCAACGTCTTTCCCGAAGCTTGTGAACTTGAGACAATAAAGGAGAATTTGTATGGGGGTATGTAACTTGGTACAGATACCAAGTTCTTTGTACATGCGAAAAATATATACCACTGTAAAGCTTATTGTTAAAGTATTCTGCCAGTCTTAATTTAAATTAATTGAATTCGATAGCTAGTTTGGTTATTGAGACATTTTGATTTTAATTTAATCAAAAATTATTAAAAAACATTTTAAGCATAAAAAGGGTTTTTTGGTGTAATCTACATAATAAACATTTAATTTGGAGTGAAACCTTCTTTAGCGGCGTTGTACACTTTTTTTGTATGGGTAAAAAATGTTAAACTCGCGTCAGGTTAAACACGTGGGCTGATCGCATCATGACACAATAAAATTGGAAACGACTTTCAATATATTGGACGAAACAAAGTAATATTTTATTTTATCGTATAATAATAATAAGTCTCTATCTAGAACGTCCACGTGGCAACTTTATTGCGAAGAAAATGCATTTTTTTACAATAGATGTCGCTAGGTGCGCTTAAATGAGAATCGCTCTTCTGAGAGATAAACTTTTTAATGTAATATAAATTGTCATGTTTGTGTACGATAGCGCAACAAATAAATATTGTATTCTACCACATCAAATGATAGTACTTTTATACTGATCTAATCTGATCTGATTTAATACTGATCATTAAAGAAATTCGTGCAAATTTATTCCCTAACCATTCCAAAATATCAAAAATGCACAACGTTAATATTCAAATTTTCACTTTTGCTGGCACTTCCAGAGTGCAACCCGTCGTTTTTTTTTAACTAATTTGGAACTACTAAATGTCTATAAAGACATAGCACTCAAAAATATTCAATGATAACAATCACACTGCTATGTTGACACGTAAGCTACAATCTACATAAGGATAGTTGACTTTAAGGACAGTGAAGCCGTTTATATTTTTAATAATTCATCAGAAATTATTATAAAAATTGCTGTACACAATAAAAAAAATCTTTTCTCCCATTTTTATGTTTTATCTCACAAAATTGCGGCGCGCCCATAACAACGTTGTTATATGCTTACCAAATGCTATTATATGCGTTGAACTGATGACAACCCATATACACGAAATACGACACTCTTGCCTCCCTCAATGTCTGCAAGTTAAAGAGATATTCGTTAAGAAAACCCACCTTCACTGTTTTAATGTTTAATTAATAATTAAGAATACAGTCAATTTATTGTATGGTGATATTTACCATCAATTTTTTAAGATGAATTTAGGTAGTCACGCCATTTTTAGTAACAAAGTCCATAAAACAAGCTGAAATCAGTGTCGTCTTGCATCGAAAATCTATTACGAAATCGTAGAAAAATAGCACAAATCACAAAATCAAAGAAAGTATCGATAAAACACAAAAATAAATATTAGCATCGCAAGCGAAATGACAATTGTATTTGACAATGTTTTTTTTTTCTTCTTTCTGTGGCGTTCTCCGTTTTACACAGAAATTTCGCCAATGTCGAGTAGGTAGTGAGAGAGACACGAGAAAAACTGCTCGGTAGAAACAGATTAAGGTGATTTAAATAACCAATTATACGTTCTTCCTTGAGTATTTCACTTTTCTGAAAGCACAACACAACAAACAAACACAAAGACGTCATAGGTTAAACAATATTAATTTATATGACATGGGTAGAGCCGGCAATTATTTCCAAATAAAAATAGAAAGGTTAATAAAAGTTAGAGTTTAATATTGTATTTTTTTATGAATTTACATAAACACAAAAAGCCAGATTTGTTGGTCAATGTTAGAATTGTATTAATGTTAACGGGACGTACAGTTTTGGGTGGAAGTAGAGAATATAGAGATGGGTGTTTTTGACAGTTGAAAAAAATGTGGTCTACAGTGCCTTCCTCGAGTCCGCACTCACAAATGGAGCTGTCTAGTATTCGTAATTTGGAAAGAAAGACTGGCGAGGTAACGTTGCCGAGACGAAGACGGCTAATAGTTGTAATGACCCGCCTGGGAAAGTCGCGGAATTTAGCAAACCAAGGTTTTCTGAGTATTATTTCCTGAAGGCTGCCATAATGGCGGCCTATAATTTTGGAGTTACGACTCCATCTTTTACTCCATTCGGATTGAAGGTCGGTTTTAGCTAATTGGAGGACATCTGCAGAGTAATTTTGAAGACGTGAAGGGTTACCCGATAGCGTAGCGTCTTTCGCCCAAGTGTCTGCGATTTCGTTGTCTCTAATATCACTATGACCAGGAATCCATGCTAGCGCAATATCAATATTTTGTGAATGACATTCTAACAGTGTTTTTTTAATGTCTAAGATGATAGGGGATACAGTTTTGGACTTGAACAAATTGCTCAAGAGAGCTTCCAGGCAGCTTTTGGAGTCTGTGAATATAATGGATTTGTTAATCCTGTGGGAGAGTATAAAAGTAATGGCTTCCGAGATAGCTACCGATTCTCCAGAGAAAGTTGAAGCCTCTTTTGGACATTTAAAACTTAATACAACATCAAATTTGGGGATCTATACTGCTGCTCCTACATTGCCATCAGGACAGATCCTAGAGGCGTCTGTGAATATATGTACCCAGTTTAACCACTCTTCATTAGTGATATTTAAAAACTCCCTTTGTGCTGTTGGACTGTTTTTGGCTATACCAAAGTTAAGATAAATATTTGGGACCAGGATAAGGGCATCATAACTAGTTTTAAAAAGAGGGTGAGTATTAAATTTAACTATAGGATAAGAGGGGGATGTAAATTTTCTGTAGCTAATGATTAGCCTAGGTAGAGTCTTATTAGACCAGTATGAGGATTCATTAATCACATTCGAAAGCTCTTGAAGTTGTAAACAGAGTAGGTGGGATTCTGTCTGCATACATTTGCCAATGTTCTAATGAGAGACCACTGACAGACACGGTCATTATAAGTTGACATGTAATTAATTTTAGTTACGTGACCATTTAAAAATCGAATAGGTAATCGATGTTATACTTTTATTTTGACTGAGATTGGAAGTTAAAGAACTCCAATTTATACGTGAGTTTTTACAATTTATTAACGTTAAAAACATTAGTAATTTGAGCAATTGAAACAGTACTTCAATAAAACATTCAACTCAAGATTAGTTGAATCGATCGTTTCGAATATCATAACAAACTGCGTTCCTTTATACGTTAAAGGTTTATACTATTTGTTGAGTTTCACCGCTAACTAAAAAAAATACTATATATACTTTTTATCTTATATTACTTACAGTTCAATGCTTATCCTAATATTAAAAAAGAAATGTATGAACGAGATCGGTACCAAAATAGTTGTTCTCCTTTGGTTTGTTTGGTCACCCATCTAATGACAGACCATTTCCATGATCGCAGATCCAAAAAGCTAACCACGCTGAGTCATCTCGCTTCCCAAAATACAATACTTGCTGAAACAGAAAGACAGACAAGCTCACTTTCCCATTTATACTAGGGTAAATGTCAAGAAAAAGGACCTTTAATGCGAGTCCTCTGTTTTAGTGCTTTAAACCAAGGAATAATGTCTTTTTTTAAAGAACACATAATCATGGTATACAACACTTTAACAGCTGACTCTAGGATTCAAATAATCGAATAAATTACTTATTATGTCAATTTTAACCGAATCAGGTGAAATGAACAACCCCTATCAAGATCATTATATTTTGTTATTTTCACTATACTGACAAGAATCGATACCGTTTAAAGCTAAATGTCTCGCAAATCTATTTCAGGATCGTCATTTGTCATCTTGTGAAGTGAAAACCGTCCAACTGCTAATAGAGTTAGGGTCTAACTTGGAATAGATTGCATGTCCACTGACCTGTGTGAGTTGAGCGGGAAATGGGGTCAGAGAGTCGGTGTCTCACTCCAATTCCTTTTAATTGCTACGAGTATGTACAAAGTTGATAAAAAAGTGTAAGCTTTATTAAAATGGTTTTATCGCCGCTTTAAGAAATTTCTATGATATGAGGTTTGCATGCGAGCATGCGGACCGCCTGATGGTAATGTAATTTACCCTAATACTTTTGCTCATGAGCAAAAGTTTCTGTCCATGGACAGAAACATGACACCATTGATAGGTAGGTCTTAAAAAAGTATGTCACTTACTTTTTACACATTCTACAATTACATTTTAATACTGAATTTTACAAGTTTTTATTTACTTCTAGCTGTCGGTTGTGATTAGAATGCACGTAATAAATATAATATGACGCTTATATATTTAGCATTGTCCGAGACTTTAGTTGTACCTAGTCGAAGAAAAATATGAAGGATCATCTACGTCAATACTGCGTGTCATTAATAGCACTCACTGCGGGAAAATCCAGTGGATGTATGATTTTTCTTTACAGTTCTTGTCCCAAATAATAACTTAGTTTTCCTTATTGACCTCCACGTTAATTCTGATAACATCACGCTATGTATCAAGGGTAAACGAAAATTTAGTATGTTTTTTATCCTCAACTATAAGCAGGTATTTATTTATTCATACTACCTACTGCGCCCACGCTCGGCTGGAGCCCATAGCTACAAAATGTAAAACTATGTTATGCTCAGCACAAAAGTTCTTAAATTTGGTACTAATACACTCATAAAAAAATAAGAATTAAAAAGCCCCGACTGCTTATAATAATACTTCAATTAAAACTGAAAAGACAAAAACAAGTCTATAATTCTGTTGAGTAGGGAACAAAGCTACTTTAACAGCCAGGACCATTAGATATTGAAGAATGGATATTTTTTTTCAAATAATAGGTCCCGACTGTTAAAGAAGCTTTGTTCCTTATTTAACAGAATTATAGACTACTGCACTTGCTTTTTTGTTTTCAGTTTTTAATTGAAGCAAAATATAAAAAGTTCGATATGAGATTTTTTAAATTTACCTTTTTTATTGCACACTTTTTACTTAGGATTATAAGACGGTATCTACCGCAGTCTTGTCACTTCAGTAAGGTAGTTAATATCGCGGGAATTATTAAGTACCTTGCGGTGGTCTAAACGATTGAGTTATTACGACATATAGAGACCTTACCACCAGAGTCAAGGCTACAGGTGGGCATGAGTTTTCGCAAAAATGTGTGAAGTTTGATTAAGTTGTTATATCTAATGCATATAAATTTTAGTTAACTAGTACTTAAATCTAAAGAAAATATAACTAGAAAAAATTCCACGCTGACCAGACAGCAGACGGGACTCGAACCCGCACTCTTCGCAATCCGGGCGAATGCACTGACCAATTATGCTACCGCGGCCCTCACGGACCGCGTCGAAATTCTTTCTAGCTATTCTTAAGCTGCAGGGCAGCGCCATCTCTTCGCATTATAGGTAAACCCACAATGTCAAATGAATACTTTTACAAGTATTAAACATTTGAAAGAAGAAATAGCAATTATAGTTATAATTTTTATTATTTTTAAAGCATGTAACTGCTTGATGTTTAACTCTAAAGAAAATATAACTAGAAAAAATTCCACGCGGACCAGGCAGCAGACGGGACTCGAACCCGCACTCTTCGCAATCCGGGCGAATGCACTGACCAATTATGCTACCGCGGCCCTCACGGACCGCGTCGAAATTCTTTCTAGCTATTCTTAAGCTGCAGGGCAGCGCCATCTCTTCGCATTATAGGTAAACCCACAATGTCAAATGAATACTTTTACAAGTATTAAACATTTGAAAGAAGAAATAGCAATTATAGTTATAATTTTTATTATTTTTAAAGCATGTAACTGCTTGATGTTTAAATCTAAAGAAAATATAACTAGAAAAAATTCCACGCGGACCAGGCAGCAGACGGGACTCGAACCCGCACTCTTCGCAATCCGGGCGAATGCACTGACCAATTATGCTACCGCGGCCCTCACGGACCGCGTCGAAATTCTTTCTAGCTATTCTTAAGCTGCAGGGCAGCGCCATCTCTTCGCATTATATCGGGCATTCGCCCGGATTGCGAAGAGTGCGGGTTCGAGTCCCGTCTGCTGCCTGGTCCGCGTGGAATTTTTTCTAGTTATATTTTCTTTAGATTTAAACATCAAGCAGTTACATGCTTTAAAAATAATAAAAATTATAACTATAATTGCTATTTCTTCTTTCAAATGTTTAATACTTGTAAAAGTATTCATTTGACATTGTGGGTTTACCTATAATGCGAAGAGATGGCGCTGCCCTGCAGCTTAAGAATAGCTAGAAAGAATTTCGACGCGGTCCGTGAGGGCCGCGGTAGCATAATTGGTCAGTGCATTCGCCCGGATTGCGAAGAGTGCGGGTTCGAGTCCCGTCTGCTGCCTGGTCCGCGTGGAATTTTTTCTAGTTATATTTTCTTTAGATTTAAACATCAAGCAGTTACATGCTTTAAAAATAATAAAAATTATAACTATAATTGCTATTTCTTCTTTCAAATGTTTAATACTTGTAAAAGTATTCATTTGACATTGTGGGT